CTCGGAAGCATCCCCCAACACCCCTCCCCCAAACTTACTTAACACAAAGTGTCAAAGCAAGAAGGTTTTTTAATGCTGATATTGGGTTAATGCCTTACTTTTTCTTCACAACATGATGGGTTCCACATACATATCATATAAGTGAATCAAACACAACTTTTATGGCATATTTACATCACGCTTATGCAACTATGTCTCACTTTATGCTTATCCTACAGTCACGACTAAGTGCATAGAAAGGTGGGTATTCAAAGCAACATATAAAAATACATAAATTAAGCAATACAATTCAAAATAGGCTAATTCTTACATGCTAAAGATATCAAACCATACTCATCATAGACCTTTTTGGATTTTTCATTTTTTAATTTTTTTTTAAAAAAATTTAACTCTTTTTTTGTTATTTTTTTTAAAATATACACAAAACACACATATTCCTCCCCCACACTTAAAAGTACACATTACCCTCAATGTATAAAACACAAAAGACAAAGCAACCAAGTGAAAAGAAAAGAAAAGGCATAAATAAATTAAAATAAATGAAAAAAAACGAGGCAACCTTGGGAATGTGAAGCGGAGAACCGAAGTTGTTGAAGAAATTGTTGCAACTATCCAAGCACCATTTATTCCAGAGTAGTTGCCAAACAAAAACAAAAACAAACCTAAATTATATCAGACAGATGATTAAGAAAAATCACGAAAATCTAGAATTCAAATATTTCTAAATAATCAGGAACAAAAAACTTAACCATCAATTTATTTTCAAAATTAAAAAAAAACAAAATAAAATAAAATAAAGTAAAATAAAACTTGGGTTGCCTCCCAATAAGCGTTGTTTTAAAGTCTTTAGCCGGACTTTATGGCTGATCAGTCAGAGTACCCATCTCGATACCATAAGAATCCAAGTTCAACAAAAGTGATGCACCGCTTATAGTGGCTCTCTTTTCCATGGGCAAATATGAACTTATACTCTAAGACCACTATATCTTTTTTCTCAAACTCAATCTTGTACCACCGATCCTCTTCTTGGTCTTCCATTGAACTATCTTTCGTATCATCCTCAAAATCTCCTAAATCAGGGTCAAACTCACCACATTTGTCTACTTCAAACCCTTCTTTTGGAACTATAGGAATGTTCTACTCAGTGAAATCAACTTGATCCACATCTTTGTCACCAACTCTTAGAATGAGCAAATCATGCTTGACTACAATGTATATTCCAAAAAAATCAGGAGGACTTGGAATATCTAGACTTTTAAACTCTTCGATCTTTTCTAATTCTTCACATTCAAGCTCAGTTTGAGATGGTAACTGTAGAGGCTGGACCAACGTATCATCTTCATAAATCTTCTCCTTCTTATTCAATTTTAGCAAATTTCCTATAGGATCAAGTTCTAGCAACCCTACACTCAACCTATAGTGGTTGACCTCTTTAATAAGTTGTTGGCCTTTTTCACTTTGCAATTCTTGAAGAGCTCCCTCTATAACAGTAAGTTGAGCTTGAACAGGTGGCTTTTGATATGAGGATGCTAACTCTCTCAAAGTGGGTTGAAAAGGTGATGACTGTAAGGCTGCTGGCTCTCTTAGAGTAGGTTGACGAGCTGCTAACTCTCTAAGAGTGGGTTGAGGAGGTGATGGTTGATATAATGATCTATTTGAGTGGGAACAATCATCTTGATAGAAAGTTGAACCATTATTCTTATTGTTGTCAATTAGCATTTTTTCAATTCTCTCCAAACGAGACAACATATCAGAACTCATATGGGGACTCTCAAAACCAAAATTGTACAGCATCAAATGAATATCCTTGATAATCACAACCATAGTAAGGATTATGAGAGTAATTGCTCCAAGAGTAGGGTTCATCTTGATATGTAGGATAGTTTCCATATTCATAATCATAACCATAATACGGAGTCTCTCTATATCCATAGTTAAAATTTTTCATGATAACTCCAGAATCCTACAAAAATATTGACACAAGAAAGAAAAGAAAATAAAATTAAAAATAAAAATAAAAATACTAAATTAATAAAACAAATGAAAATATATACAAATCTAAATTAATAAAAGAAATAATCTAGTTTCAATATTGGATATTGCCTTCCCCGACAACGGCGCCAAATTTGACGAACAGTCGTCACAATAGTCAAATATAAATTACCGAATTAATACTATACATGTATTAAAGCATAAAGCAGGGTCGATCCCACGGAGATGGTTACTAAGTACCAGTTTAAAATTATTTTTTATTACTATTTAGAAAACTAATAATAATGATTTTAAATTAAACTAAATCTAAAACTAATAATTAAAATCCAATTAATTATATAAAAGAAAACCTAAGGCAAAGGGTTCACCAACCGATTACTCAGCTTAACTCAATCTATAGATATGTGACTTTGAACTATCATTAATCTCACGACAATTCACTAATTTTAGAATTATACACCTTCGTGTCATAACTCTCTTACTCAAATTAACCCTATGACTACTCTCGTGACTATAGGGATTAATAAAAGCACATTAAGAACTTTGGAATTACTAGTCGCAAAGGCGGTGTTCCTACTGTCGTGGCTCACTACCTAAGTTTAATATTCCCATGAACTAATGTTAACCTTCAACTGTCATTCCTTTATTTAAAATGTATCATTCCTTTATTTAAACACATTTTAAGCATGCAAGTGGTGATCAAATACTAACATGGAATAAAAATAAGAATATTAAATATCAACTAATGAAAAAGTCACAATCATAAATTAAATTAAATTAAATAATACGGCGACTACATCCAAAACCCTAAATTAAATACTTTAACTACACATCATCTTAAAAATAAATAAAACAATGAAACCCGAGAGTCCGAAGTAGCTTGCTTCCTCTTCCATTGATGGTGCGTGGATGATGGTGATGGATGGTGGAAGGTTTTTTTTTGGTTAATGCGTGAGGTTTAGGAAGTTTAATTTGGTGATGGTGCGTGGGTTTGGGTGGAGTTGGAAGGTTTTTTGGGTGGGGGTTCTTGGTGCGGAGTGGGGGCTGAGGTGATGGAGTAAGGTTTTATGATGATGATGCGTGGGAATGGAGGAGAGGTGCCGGTGGAGCTTAAGAGAGGTGACAAAGTTGCAGCGGGTGGAGATTTGGTGACGGTGAAGGACATAGGTTTTTTTCGATGATATTTAGTGCTCATCCCGTCCCAAAAATAAAATCTTAACCTCCTTTATATAGGCCTTTCTCCAACTCTATTTCTTGGAGGTTAAGAAAACTTATTTCCCAATTAAAATTGGGATTAAAATTCTTGCCGAAATCCAACTCCAAACAGCCGCACCAACAACGTGTCTCGGCCAAATCATGGGGAGAAAAACAAAAATTGTAATTCAGTCCTTCAAATCTCTAAGTCTTTTGATTTCTTCCTCATTAATTCTTACAATCTTCATTTAGGCCCTTTTTAGTAGCTCTTTCTTTTCAATTTAGTCCAAAACCTCAACAATTCCTCCATTTAAGTACAATTCCTACAATCAAAGATAAAATCATATAGATAGCATATTTGTACTCAAAACATTGGCAAAATCCCGCATAAAGGGATATTAAAAATAGATAAATTATATGCACATCAATTCTAGCAGCTTCAAATCTCAAGGTTGCTCATTTCATTAATCCTAATGGATAGTGGCAAGTACATACCTTTAGAAGGTTTTTTCCAGATTACATCATCTCCCATATTGTGGGGATTTTTGTTGATCCGGATAGAAGGACTCATCCTGATGCAATTCAATGGACTTTTTCCTCACATGGGACTTACACTGTGCGAGAAGGCTATAAGTTAGCTACAAATGCACTCTTTTCACTACCAGCTCAAAATCCAGATGTATTGCTAAAGGAGAAAATGGATTGGAAACGACTGTGGCAGTCAGGTGTGCAACCAAAGCATAAGTTTCTACCCTTGCGAGTGTTACTGGATGTGTTGCCTATCAGGATAGACCTATCTGAACGGGGAGTTTTGATTGATCAAGTATGCCCCCGCTGTGGATAATGTGAAGAAATTACCCTTCATCTTTTCTTCCAATGTGAGTCTTCCTAGGCTATTTGGGCACTAGCATATCCTAGGTTCGCCTCCATTTTTGTTTCCAACTATGACTCTATGCTGACCTGGTTTGTCAATTGGATTCAAATGCATCCACCCAAAGTGGAAGTTAATCTTTTTCTACTCATTATATGGCGATCTGGATGGAAATAAATGATCGGATTTGGCATCATCAAACCACTAATCCAGCAGTGTCTTGGAGAATGATCCTTACTGATGAGACAATCACGGCACCACTCCGCCATCACTCCACATCCATAGTAAGACCATCTTCGGGTCCGCAAATACGAGGGTCCTTGATTCTCTGATCATTATTGATGGTTCATATAGCCATCAAACAAGGAAAGCTGTAGCTGCTTGGAAGATTATCTCTCCACATGGCATGGTGCTGCAACTCAAAGTGGTTGACATTACCGTCTTGTCTCCACTATAGGCAGAAGCAATGACTTGTTTGCTCGTCATGAAAGATGTATTGAGTTTAGGCTTGACACGAGTACAAGTTTACACTGATTGTGAGACACTTATATTGCATACTCCAACTTCTCTTATCCCCACTGAGGCACGTGAAGTTATTTCCTCGCTTCAGTCTATTAGATTAGCCTTTGAGTTATGCTCACTGATTAAAGTTAGCAGATTAGAGGTTATCGAAGTACATAATTTAGCTTTTGCAAAAACGCGTTGTAATAACTTAGGTGCCGATTTACACTAATATACAAGTACCCTTTCGAAAAAAATAATAATAATTAAAGTGGAGTAATTTGTCTTATTTTTTTCTTTTTGGAGAGAGTACCATCAAGCAAATAAATAAGTTCTTATAGCATAACTGGAAATTAGGATTGGTAAGAAGTGAGAATTGATTCCAAATTAATCATGTTTCATTTCATTTCAAAACAATAAAATCTCTACCAGGTAAACAGGGGAAAATTTTAATTTGACCTTGAAAAACTAAACTTGAATAAATGTCCCTTTTTCATAATAATAATCTGAAAATAAAGAAGCATCGATCAAAATGAACGAATGCTAACAGGATGATTTAGCAACTGTTAACATCGAAATACATATTATGGTACTGCAAATCCACGGTGACCCGAGTTCCCGTCAACTGGAAACTTCCAAAGAGCACAAAATCACGGTTACCCACTTGCGGAAGAAACCCAAGGCAATAAGTACGATGATCTATAGGGTACAAGATATGCGCGGCTTGCAAGGACAGATACTGTTTCGGTTCGCCCTTACCTCCATGGAAACTGAATGTAATTGTCGGAACACTCAAGGTTGTTACATCACGGCCACCAAGATCATAACAAGTGTCAAGATCTACGTCTTCATCTCTATGATACGGCAAACCGAAACTAGTTCTGAAAAAGTCCCGAAACTTGTAGTAAATATCCGTAGGGAGCCATGTAACTTTTGTTCCAGAATCAACAACGGCTCTAATAGTACTATCTTCAGGAGGGTAAGGGTTAGCTTTCACGTACTGAGTCCCAACAAAAATCCCCACAAGTTGGGTTGAATAGGTTTTTTCAAGGTATAAAAGAAGGGGTACCTTAAGTGTGGTTGGTTTTGGGATTATTAACTTGTCGAAGTACACTGGACTCCCTAAGAATGATTCCGTCAAACAAAAGCTGAAAGATTTGGCGTGGTATTGACTTACAAAAGACAGGTCGCCTCGGCCGAATCCCAAGATTCCGGTGTACCGGTGGCCTTGGAAAGTAGTTGGCTGAGCCCCCGAGCAACCGAATTTCAAACTCTCCATGAGAGTGCCTCCGATAGTGTAAACCTTGTCGCGCGCCATGAAACCTTGAGATTTTGTTCCATCAAGGTACCTGGTTTGAAACACGCATTTTTTCCCGAAAGACGATCCGCACTGGAAACCCGCCCATCGAGGGCAATCTTTAAGATCGTCGCAGTTCACTCGCTTGAAGGTTGATGATTTGGAAGGGTCGAAACTCTCAGCCGGGCATTTTTTGCATGGTCTGCAAACCCACCAGATGAGATTTGAACCCGTATCCAATATCCAAACATCTTTTTGTGGCGGTGTCCCTACTTCCAAGATCGTCGCATACGCTCCTTCCACATCATATACCGGAATTTGCACCACATCTTGATGAATTTCGCCGGTGAACGAATTCACAGCAATCTGTGAAGCCATCCACGCGGCTCTTCTCGCGTCTTTGGCTAAGGTATATTTGACTAGGGAACGCCAATCTTTGTAGTTGGATTTCACGAAAAGGTTTACATCATAAAGGGGGATGCTAAGAGTTCGATTCCTATGAAACTCATCGGGTGATACTTTTAGCAGTTGGTTCAGTAATTGGGTCCCATTGAAAGTCATGAAATTTCTAATGGATTCCATTCTGGCTGTGTGATTTAGGGTGACTGTTAGTGGGAGGTCTGCAGGCAAAGATGATGACATGCATTTTGTTGATAATGTGGGTAAAATGAAGAGGAAAAGATGCAAGAACAAGAAGATATACGAACGTTCCATGATTTTTTCAATGGCTTATTGCTTTCTCCAACTCGTTCACCTCAGCTATATATAAATGGCTAACTAACAACATTTAGAGATTATACTGATATTATTGCATATCCAATCATTGATTAGTTTTCTAAGTTTTTATTAGTTTGATTCATGCATGTATATATTAGACATATATAAATGTCATGAATTGACAAAATTTGCATCAATTTCTTGTTTGCTTCATGTATTAAATACATCTCTAGTTTTATGAATTAATTTCTAGGATTTGAAAGTTATTGATAAGATGAAACATATTATTATAGATTAATTGTTCATACAATCCGTTAATCAGTATCAAATTCATTAAAGAATCCCCATATCAATTTAAAAAACAAACCACAAATCATTATAAAGAAATCCCCATTCAATGAAAACAAAAGGATAAAGACAAAAAAAAAAAATCAAGGCCAAGGTCATGGCCCGAATCTTCAAAATTTAAACACAAATCATCATTAAAATATTATGTCTTTTATACAACACCCATCAATCCCAAATCATCATGGAGTACTAGATATGTATTCGTCACTCATCGGTAATCACCATACACAAATCACCATTAATTAGTCTTATTGAGAGATTTCAGAAAATTATCCAATTGACAATTTTTTTCTCCACTTGTTTCACTTGTACAAGATAAATTGATAAGTAAGCATATGTTATATTGCGTGTTCCAATTCCTTCACTATACATTTCTTTGTTAAAAAAAAAAGAAAATGGTAACAATTTTCCAATTAATTAAAATCAAGTAAAAGTACGGTAATTTTTTAATATATTCTGCATGCTCACGATTTCAAAAAAAAAAAATTCCTTTTTTATCCTTCTTATCATGTAATGACATTTCTGTTTATTCGATATTTATTTTTTAATTTATAAACAAATTATTAATGTGTATTAATCTATTTTAATTAATTTAATCATACAAAAATACAAAATAATTCTTTGATTTATATTAATTCGATCTTTTTTACATAATGTATCTATCCTGTACATATGGCAAGTGTACGTAACATCTAATTATCATTTAAAAAAAAAGACTTTAAATGATTGAGGTGGTAAATGAATATCCACGTGAATATTGAGATTGAAGAAGTTATAATGGCGGAAAAAGAGTGAACGCCATCTCAAGAGAAGTAATTAAGGGTTGATATCTAGCTTTATCAAAAGGTTTCATTATACCATACCTCCACGCCATTTAGAGTTACTTGAAAGCCTCTTTGTCCATCGAAACAACAAATAGAACAATTATTTTAGAATGTAAAATGAATGTAATCATAAGAAATATATGGAGAGCTTGTAAAATTTATGAACCATGATCAGCTTGTGCTTGTCATTACTTTCATTGCAGTATTTCATTTTGCCCCATGAACATAATCTCACCTGCAACGAAGCAATCCTGTTAACAAAAGTAATACATGTGTTTCTTCTTCCTTTTTTTTTTACTCGAAAAAATGAAAATTTGATATGCTTATATTTTACCTATCTATTATATCCTTAATTTGTGATTTTTGCAATATATTTTGAGTACAAATATGCTATTTATATGATTTTATCTTTATTTGTAGAAATTGTACTCAAAAGGAAGAATTGTTGAAATCGTGGGCTAAAATGAAGATAAAAACAACTCAAAAGGCGAATTGAAGATTTGATAAATTGACAAGGAAGAAATTTAAGTACTTGAAAATTTGGAGGATTAAACAAGAAATTTTGGAATTTTTGTTTTTGGAAATTGGCCGAACAACGATGATGGTGCGGTTGATTTGGGATTGGAATTGGGTAAGAATTTTAATCCCAATATTATTTGGAAAACAAGTTTTTTTTCTCTCCAAGAAGTAGGGTTTTGACGGAAGCCTATAAAAGGAGGATTAGGGATTTATTTTTACAACCGAACTTGACCAAAAACTCACCGAAACCCTACGGTTGAAAACATCCCTCCGCCGCTGCAATTTCTCCCTCTCCCCGCCGTCCACCTTCTTGCTTCCTTGATCACCTCCGCCGATCACCACCACCTCTCCTACACCTTATCACCACGCAGCACACAGCTCCACCTCTGCCGACCACCACCTTGATTACCCCCTTGCACCTCCATCATTCACGCAGCAACCTTAAGCTTCACCACCCTGCTTCCTTGTTCATCATCCACGCATCAGCACCACCTTAATGATTATTCCATCACCACCACGCAGCAGCAGCAGCATCAACAAACCATCATCTCATTCGCCATCACCTCTCCATTACCTTGCGCATCAATTCAAACCAAACCGGCAGCAGCCTCCTTGAGCTTCTTGCAGCCGAGAGAAATAGAAGTGTCCAAATCCGAAGCAAGCAGCACCCGCAATTGCATAACCGGGGAGCTCTTCGGCGGTTTCGGCATAGTATTTCGGGTTTTATAGTTTTTGTTTTAATTATTTAATTCAGATTTTTAGGATTATGTCTCTAGATATAATTGAATTATTTTTTATAATATTTAGTTGCTAAATTCTTTTAACCTAGGGCTTGGATGCAGCCGCCGGATTTGTTTGGTTTATTTGATTCATGATACTTTGATTTTTTCATTGATCAATATTTAATATTCTTGCTTTTATTCCATGTTCGTAACTGGCCACTACTTGCATGTTTAAAAATATTAATTGATGGAACGACAGTTGAAAATTAATATTCGTTCATGGGAATAATGGACTTAGGTAGTGAACCACGGAAGCAGGAACAAAACCTTTGCAATGTTAGATTCTTAAGTTCTTAATGTGCTTTTGTTAATCCTATAGTCACGAGAGTAGTCATAGGGTTAATCTAAGTAAGAGAATTATAGTGCGAGAGTGTGTAGTTCTTAATTAGGTGAATCGTTGTGAGATTAATGGAAGTTAAACGTCAGATATTTGTGAATTGAACTAAACCAAATATTCGGTAGGTAAACCCAATGTCCTAGGTTTTCTTTGTTTGATTATTTGAATTAATATTATTTGCTTTTATTTTATTTATTTATTTTAGTTTTAAATTTTATAAATCTGAGATCATCATTTATCTAGATAAGAATAGGAGTAATTAATACCTGATAATTAGTATCCCTTCTATGTGGGTACGACCCTATTTTTCGCTATACTAGTGTTAAGTAGGTGAATTTGTTTGACTAGTGTTGACGACGGTTTGTCAAATTTGGCGCCGTTGCCGGGGAAGGCAGCTAATATCGAATTTAGATTACTTTCTTTTATTAGTTTAGATTTTTATTTTATTCTATTTTATTTCTTTCAAAGATTTTTGTCCCTTTTTTATATGCGAAGTGCTAATTTTGAGACTTTGCAATTTGATCCAGAGATAGAAAGAACAGCTCATGCGAATAGAAAAGAAGCAATGCTAACAAAGGAAAAGAATCAGAGTGAAACCATGGGTGATAGAATTCGGACACTGAGGGATTATTTCACACCTACGGAGAACGTTGCTAGGTCAAGTATTACTAGGCCTACCATTGCTGCGAATACCTTTGAGCTCAAGCCAGCACTGATCCAGATGGTGCAGCAGAATCAATTCTCCGGTTTCAACAATAAAGATCCAAATGCGCATGTTGACAACTTTTTAGAGATCTGTGATACTGTTAAGATAAATGGTGTGACGTCAGATGCAATCCGGCTGAGACTTTTCCCTTTCTCGCTGAGGGGAGAAGCGAAGAATTGGTTGAATACTTGCGATCCTGGTTCCATCACAACTTGGGATGAGCTGTACAAGGAGCTCCTGATCAATTTCTTCCACCAGATAAGGACGCGAAATTGAGAAATCAAATTACTGGCTTTATTCAAGAAGATGATGAGACATTTCATGCTGCATGGACAAGATTCAAGGAATTGCAAAGAAGATATCCTCCCCATGGTATTGACAGGCTTTGCAAGAAACAATGTGGATGCTGCAGTTGGAGGTTCATTAATGGATAAGTCAATTGATGAAGCCTATGAATTGTTTCAAATTATGGCAAAGAATAGGAATCAATGGTCGAACTCGAGAAGTGTTTCCAAGAAGCCTGCTGGAATATATGAAGTCAATGAACTTAGTGCCATGAATGCAAAGATAGATGCACTGACCAAGGCGATGGGTAATCTTCTAAATGCTAATGCGGTCTTCCATACCACTGTCTATGAGTTCTGTGGAGGTCCTCATTTGAGCTTTGAATGTATGCAACTGGCAAGTACACAATATGTCTCTAATTTCAGCAAGCCTCAGCAACAGAATAATCCTTACTCCAACACATACAATCCTGGGTGGCGAAATTGTCCAAAATTTTCTTGGAATAATCAAGGGGCTCAAGACTTTAATGCAAGACCTCAAAACCCTCCTGGTTTCCAAGCAAAGTCATACCAATCTGCACCTAAGTCAGCAACGGAGGCAAGTTTGGAGAGAATGGAGAAATTATTGAGTGAAAACAATGAACGGTCTAACAGAATAGAAGCAAAATTAGATCACTTGAGTACTGCTCATAGAACCTTGGAGATGCAAGTGAGTCAAATGGCCTTCGCCATGAATACTCGTGGGCAAGGTCAACTGCCAAGCAAGTCTGAAATCAACCCTCGTGAAAATTGTAGTGCTATCATGTTGAGAAGTGGGAAGCAGTTAGGTGACGAGGAGGAACCAAAGACCATTGAAGTGAATGTGACCACTGATGGGAAGAAAGAAGAGAGTAAAGATAGTGATGAAGAAAAAATGGAGAAAGTGGAACAAGAGGAAGAAAAGATATATGTGCCACCACCGCTTAAACCTTATGTTCCACCAGTGCCTTTTTCACAGAGACTCCATATGACCAAGCAAGATAAGCTATTTGAGAAATTTCTGAAAATTTTTAGGTAATTGCATATTAACATTCCTTTTGCAGATGCTTTAGCTCAGATTCCGGCTTATGGGAAGTTCTTGAAGGAGATCATCTCCAACCGAAGGAAAGTGGAAGACTTTGAGACAATTGCATTATCTGAGGAGTGTAGTACTGTTATTCAGAGCAAG